AATTGGGCCTGTACTTGAGAAAATTGGGGAGAGGGCACAGTCTTCTCCTCCACTTCAAACCAGTGTTGACATTTGTGTCCCCAATTCATTCACACGGTTCTTGGCACCCAATAGGCATTTCATATTTGCTTGTTAAGTTGCTGGATTGATGGAAAAATTGAACTGTGCCCTTTGCAAACTTCTGTAACAATACATTTGCTGGAGCATTCTTTAAGGTAAATCCTGTTTTTAAAGAGAATAGGATAGCAAGTCTCCTGCAAATTGCACATTAAGTTTCTATTGCATTGCTTCCCTTCCATCCCATTCCGTGGGTTACTGGGTGCCTACTCTGTGTGAGATTTCGTGTTAGGACTTTGCATCCTGGGGGGCTATCAAGGGGGGTTTCTCTAGGGGAGCTCACAGTCTAAAGGGAATAAGGAAGGTTAAACATGGTTGCAAATTCTTTGTCTTCTTCTGATTGAGAGGTGGAGCCTAACTCCCATTCCTTGAATGTTGTATCAGTGACTTGTTTGAGCAGAAGAATGCAGCAGAGGTTGGGTTTGACTTTGACGGTAAGTCCAAGGGGTCACCCACCCATTCTCTTGGAGTGCGTATTCTCCTTGGTGTCTGGGACACTGGTTTCCGTGGAAGAAGCCCAGATGCCTAGGAGTTCATGTTCAGGAGGCCACATGCACGTACCCTGAAGAGAAGCCCACGGGAATTCAGCCTTTAGCCCTCCCTGCCCACCTGTCAGACATGAATGAAATCACCAGACCAGCCAGCCCACCTGCCAGCCGAGCTTCCCCTAGTGACCTCAGGAGATACCATGGAAAGCAGAAGAATTTACCAGTCAAGCCCCATACCCCAAGATATGTATAATATGGGGCCTCCTCCCTGGTGGCACAGGGGTTAGTCTCAACCCTATCAAGCTATTGCCAGCCACTGCGGCATGAGTTTGATCCCTGCCAGGGAGCTGACCCACATGGTGTGGCAGACTCTTCCTGTCGCTGCTTCCCTCAGCAGTGTATTTCAGTAAATCCACCTGTTCTGCTCCCCACTCTGTCTCTAGTGAATCCTCTCACCGCCCGCTGGCCTGCACCCCAGTTCTTGTATGCATAAATAAATAAAACCAAATCTTTTTTAAAAAAACCCAAGATATATGTTATATGTGTGTGTTGTTGTTGTTGTTAAGTTATTACGTTTTGGGTAGTTTGTTACCCTGTAATAGACAACCCCAACAGGGGAGTAAATAAAAAACCCACGATCTAGGAAGAATCCCAGTGAAGATGGGTGCAAAGTGGGTGGTGAGAAAGCAAATCAGAGCCAGCAGTTCTATTCTTGGAAAGGCAGGCTACCGTGTGGCAACTTCAGGGGCAGCAAGCATATCATAATCCTGTGAATGGCACCCCCTGGAGTTGTGCAGTGCCCAGTGTGTGCCGGTAGGTGGCAGTTTTGGGTAAAGGTTCCTGGGAAAACTATACAGTCATGTGTTACCTAATGACGAGAGACTCTTCCGAGAAATGCACTGTTGGGAGAGTTTGTCCTTGTGTGAGCATCGTAGCATGTAATCACACAAATCTGCACAGGCTAGGCCTGCACAATCAGGACACACAAACTGCCTGTTTTCACCCCCACTGTGCCCGTGATCAGTCATTGACCAAAACATCCTTACAGAGACTCCTGGACTATACAGAAAGGGAACTTGGGCTGGGAAGTGAAATATCAGGTCTCATGGCCTAAGGAAGAAGGAGGAGCAGTAATACCCGAGCAGGGGCAGTAACATGAGTGAAGCTGGGAGGCGCAGGCGCCCACCATGGGCTTGGGCGTGGTGGCTGGGTCTCCATGTGGCTTGTCTGCGCTGGGGTAAGGGAGTGGCTGGAGAGGCACCTCCAAAGGCCGAGTGAGGTGAAGGGTCTTATTCCCACACCATAATGAAGAGGCAGGAGGAGGAAGGCATCGGGGAGACATAGCAGGTTTCAGAGCAAGACAGCAATAAACTGGAAACAGTATTCGAGAAAATTGCAGTTCAAACCCCGCAGACGTGACAGACACGGTTTGTTCTTGCAAGTGCCTGCCGCTCCCTGAAAGCTTGGCAGATCCATTTTTTATAGGAAAGTCTTAAACAGTGGGGAATAACTCAATGATTCATTTAAAGGGACAGTTAAAGGAAAATTGAGGCACAGCCCATCTTGACTTATTTAATTGCTCATTTATTATTACTGTGGGTGAGTTCACGGTTGTGTTCTTCTTTCAAATAGTGTAAAATATTTATCAGTAAACATAGCAGTGCATAAGTTAATGCCAGTTAAGACTCTGTGGAATATTTTTTCTCTCTGCTGATAGTTACGATTTTTATTAAAAAAAAAAAAATGAAACGGGGGCCTCCCTAGTGGTGCAGGGGTTAAAGACAGTGCTATCAAGCTATGGCAGCCTCTACAGCACAAGTTCGATCCCCGACCAGGGAGCCACCCACATGGTGCAACAGACCTCTCCTGTCTTGCCTGCTGCTCCCCTCAGCAGTGTTTTTCAGTAGATCTACCTGTTCTGCCCCTTACTCTCTCTGGTGAATCCTCTCACCCCCACCCCTCTGGCTTACACCCCAGTTCTTATATGCATTAGTAAATAGATCTTTAAAAAAAAAAAACACGAAACGAAATTGTGTGGCTGCGTGCTGGCTGCGGCAGCGAGGGCATGGGAGGCCAGAGCCATGGCCGGCTGTCTCTGGGGTGCCTGTGGATGGCAGGAGGGCTGGCCTGGGCATGTGTGTGTGAAGTCAGCTTCTTTCCTATCTAATCAGACTGTGGCGCTTGGGCAGAGGGCACGTGGAAGTGCACATTTTCCTTCTCTCTGTCACATCGGAATTCAGCAACAACCCTCCCGACTACAAGTGTCTTTCGACAGCGAGCAGCTTCATTATTTCACTTATCTGAGAACCCACTAGCAGGTGGTTCCGCAGAGTTGTCCTGGTGGCTTCACAATATCACCTGCGGCCCAAGATCTCTCCTCGGATAGCGGTGCGCACAAACAGGAAAGAGAGCTTTTCTACTTTTTTTACTTCAGATGCTTTTTCTTTTTTAATCCTGGGGAAAAAAATCTTTTCCAGTATCTCCTGACTGACTCAGGGTTTCTTATCCAAATCCGGGCTTCTACTCACCTCTGAGTCAATGACATGGAAGGAGAAAACCACTCTGCAGAGGATGAACTGTGGGTCGTTCCCTGGACAGGGAGAGCTCGATGCACCCCCAACCTTGGGACAAACAGGACTTTCTTGGAAGCAGCCATGGGTGAGCTGCTGTGAGTGCAGCCAAGATGTGAGCCCAGGTCAAGCCAATTGCGGGGTGGGGTCCAGGCCTGCCCTCTGGCCAGCCCGTAGCCACCCTGCCAGCAGGGCCAGCAGAAGGGTGTACAATGATGCTTCTTTGGGGAACAATAGTGGGCATTGTAACAAAGCAGGTGATTCCACAGAAACTACCATGTCACCCTGCTTTGTCAGCACACCCGGCCGCGCGGCCATGACACTTTCTTCAGATCCACCATCACGGACTAGCAGGTTAAATGCGCCTTCCCTGGACTCTCCCAGTGTGAAGCTGCCTTTGTCGTGGTCTTGTCACCCAGATCTTGCCCTCGGCCAGGCCTGGGGCCCCAGGAAGGCAGGTTGTGTCACTATCGATTTGTGTGTTCTCTGTCTGGCGCACTGACTGGGACAAAGCTGATTTCCACTGAACAGTTGTGGGATGAATGCATGAATAATTGAATGAAAGGAAATTAAATCTGGATCTTTTATTCCTCTTCAATCCATTTCTACTTTATTAGTTTTCTCTTTTTCTGTTTCCTCTCTTTTCTCATCTCTCCATTTCCTCTCTTATTTCCCTTTCTCTGGCTAATTATTCATAATTAACTACGAATCCGGCATCTTACTCATTGCACCAGATTTGCACAGTCTTGCTTTTATACTTCATCTCCCTCCCTCTCTCTCAGAAAGAAGGGCAGTCATGGGCTTGTGCTGGAGGTGGGTCCAGAAACGTCAGAAACACTCTTCCGGGACTTGTTCTCTGCTGTCAGCCTTTTTGGGCTCACGTTCAAAGGGCTAGAGTCCTACAGACTCCCCGGAATGACTCATCAATTCCATCACTGCTCCTTGGTTCCTACCCCCCAGTTTTGAGAGACTAAGGAGGGTCAGGTGCTGACAGTGTTCTCACACACAGCTGACACTTTACGGAGGGGGCCATGGACTTGGGGACTCAAATGATGGTGCCTTCAGTTAATGTCAGTGCAGCTGTGATGGGCGGCATCAGTGAAGTGCATGCTGGACCACCCTTGTTAGGTCAAAGCTTGAGCAGAGAAGCCCAGCCTTTGTCCTCGATGAGTATAGCTATCAGGTGCTCAGAGACTCCCCAAGACATCTCGTTCCACCGGGAACAAGAGTTCGAGTTAACTGTTGGTGTTTTTGTTTATCATAGATTTTGGGGCATTAATTTTGGTTTGTAAAATATAGCATGCAAATAATACTGATCTTGATGATTACATTTAGAGACCCCTTTAAGTTTTGTGCCCAAGACCAGTGCCTCGCTTGCGTCTCCCTCATCCTGGTCCTGGTTGGGGTGTTGATGTGTGAATGATTCCAAGTGCTGGGGAGACAGAAACACACAAAACGTGGAACCTTCTTCAAAGATTTTCATAACCAGTGGGGCCGGGGTGGGCGCAAGGTGGCACCAGAAGCCAGTAGCACATGTAATTGCTCTGTCAGACCTGAGGCCAGAGTGGTGTGAGCACAAGAGAGACACCAAGGCAACTTGTGGGTGGGATTGGGAATCTGATGGGAGCTGAGTGCCCTTGAAGGAGACACTGGCATTGACTGGGCTTCAGGAAGACACGAAATGACCTGGTTTGAGCAGGAAGTTATTGGGAGTTTGGTGTTCTTGAAGCATCTATTTTGGGCAGGGGTGTTGTAATGACTAATGGAGCTGGAGAGATAAGCAGGACAAGATCACAAAGAGCTTTGGAAATCCCATTAACGAACTATGACTTTAGCCTGTACGTAATGGAGAGTTAAAAGATCTTTGAAGCAGATGAGGAACATCATTCTTCCGAGTGGGAAGATAAAAACTTTGCCTTGAATAACATAACTGAAATAAAATAGATTATTTCAGTGAAAAGCCCACTGGACTGATTTTTGGGAACTGGTCTGGGTGATTCCTTCTATGGGCAAAACTCAGGGGATTTGCCTCTCGGAGCCTCCGGAGGAATCGAGCATCATGAAGGCTCCACAGAGCATCTGTGTGATGAGTTTTGGGGTCTCGCTAGGCTTCTCCTGAGCAGACAAAATTCCTCATTAGTCAAGGAAGCCTTTCCACCAGACATCTGAGTGAATTTCTGTTTGTGCCCTCTGTCCTTCATTTAAAAATAATTCGAGCCTGCTGGTAGCTGAGAACTGTGCCACCTTGGCCCACAGAGCCCCCCCCCCCCCGCCTATTTCTGTGCAAATTATCCGTGTTTATTCCTTTGCCTGTCTCTCTGGTGTTACCACACGATGTGCCCCCAGAGAGGGGTCCTGAAGGAAAAACATGGAGGTGGAGCCCCCGGGACGCTGATCTCAGGGAGCCCCTCATAGGCACTATCCTTCAGTGGCGACACATGTTTTTCTTGGAGGAAGCACAACCCCTACCACATGCCTCCCTCGTCTTGTGCTCTGTCTCAAAGATGGCTGCTGTGTTTCCTTTCAGAGCTCCTCTGACAGGGAGTCCATTCTCACCATACTCCAGGTCCTCGGAGATCTGCTTTCTGTTGGTGAGTAAGCCGTGACCTCCCCCCTCATATCTGGGGTCCTGTGGGCTGTGGTCTCGCCCTGGAAGCTCTATGGCCTGGGGGGTTTGTTCAGCTCAAGTTTTCTAGAAGAGACCAATTTACCAGCTTGTCTTTTATCTCCGAGGTTAACGGGATCCTGGGGCTCTTTAGTTTTGTCAACCACTCTACAGTGACCCAGATGTTGGAGTTTGGGGTCACATAGATACTCCAAGGTCCCTGTGACTATACCACAGAGGAACCATCCACCTCGGGTGGTGACCCTCTGCCATCTCCTGGATGGGGCTGGGATCTCCCACTGTCCCCACTCTGCTCCTCTCCCTTGTGGCTCATCTAGGGAGCCAATACTGGCAGTGCTCTTACACATGTTGGTGGAGACAGGGCTGTGAGCAGGAGCTGGACCCAGCAGCGGGGTATGCCAGGAAGCTTTCAGAGGCAAGATGCCAAGAGCTGATTCCTTTGGAATCGGCTCAGTGAACTGGGGGACAGCTGTCTCCACAGGAGGGTCCTGGAGACAGTGACTTCTTATGCAGGCTGACATTGAGTCAGGATTCACTTCCAGGCATGCAGCCACACTGCACTGGAAAGAAAACATTAGCACTAAATAGATGCATATCAATGGAGTGGCTGTCCAGTGTCACAGGGGCTCCGCTAGCTGTTTCAGGAGGGAGGAGACATTTGCTTGGAGGTTTTCCCATTGGTAGCGCTGCCTGCCGGTGTCAGGGTGACATCCTTGTGGTGGGCTGAGTCAGGAACCATCTCCAGGTGCCATCACTTGTCTTCTGGGATGGGCCATCTCCACTTTGTCCTGAGGTGTCGGGAGCTCTTAGCGTGAACCCTCGCTTGGCAGTCTCCTTCTCAGGCCGATGGCCATTACTGCTTTTTTTTGGCAAGATTTTACTTTTCATTAAGATGAAAAACTACAAAACACAACACAACAAAACAAAAACAGACAGTTATAAACCAGAGACGTCCTGCAGGGGAGGAGGAGGGAGAGGGACCAGAGGGATGGAAGGAGGAGCACAGGGGACTGAGGTGATGGTGCACGGGGGCCTTGGGGAAGGAAACCCTATGGGGACTCCACCTGCGGAGGTGGGGGGAAGCAAATATTGTTTAAAAATGAACAGTGATGTAATATATATATAAATAAAAAAAGAAAAAGTGAAAAACTAGAGGATCCTCTTGGTTTTTGATGGCCTGTCAGCTGGTCAGGTAGGTCAACCTCACCGAGGGCAGAGAGGATCTCCCAGGCACCCTCCTTTGCAATGTATTCCTTGGTTTTGTCCTGGACAAGGTCGGAAGGGGGGGTCTATTCAAAACTGTCCCTAGGTGGAAAGACTTCCTCCTAGCCCCAGAACCTCTTCAAAACTCCCTTTGTTGAATAATTAAACATTTGTTTATTGTTGAATTATTCCAGTTGTTCCACATTTTCCTCTCATCTGTTACTGAATGGTGGCCCCCCCAAATCACTATACTATCTTAAAACTCCTCCAAATGAACTGTCATCCTCACCCTGTTATGCCTGTTATGGGTAATGCAGGCCCCACCTTCTATGAAGGATGTGATCACATTAAACTGCTGTGTATATTTACAGCACACACACAAGTACACAGACTTTCAGTAACTGAGGAGCTCAACAGGTTATTAGAAATGTGGGTTCTTGGCTCCATTACAGTCTCTGCAGGTGGATGCACCCAGGTTCTTGAATATTCCACTGTGTCCCCCTTTCATAATCTTCCTCCCTGACCTAATAGCTCAACTTTAATACAGTTGCTTCACAAATGACACACTTACAGTGTCTGGGATGAGAGGAGCCAACCCTCGCACTCTCTCTAGCTGTGAAGTTGGCTTTCTGCCCCCAGTAAGGAGGTGGTGCTTCGTGGCTGAGCGCGGCTCTGCTTCCCCGCAGGCACAGACCACAGGATCCGCTACCTGATCAGCAAGGGCGGAAGTGAGGCCCTTCTGCGGACCCTGGTGGACACAGCGAGGACGGAGTCCCCCGACTATGGCATCCTGTTGCCCCTCTTCCGACTGCTGGCCAAAGTTGGCCTCCGAGGTAGCCACACTTGGACCCGAAGATGACTGGGGAGGGGTTGTTCTTCTGGGGTGGTTCTTAGGAGAGCAGCTCGGGAGGCCCTGTGGGGAAGGGCGGGGAGGAAGCCTCAGGAGATTCCCAGGACACCTTGGTGGCAGCCCCACAGGTGGGTGTCAGGAATCAAGGTGAAGTGCTAGGCCCAGACCCAGAGTAGACACAGGCGCGTGGTACGGGCCTTAAGAAAAAAGAACAGGGAGCCTCCCAGATGGTTTTCAATTACTTTAAACAAATGGAACAAGCCTGAAAATAGTATTTTGCATGGAAGTTCATCACACAAGGGCATTAGTTTGCCAGGACTGCCATAGAAAATGACCATGGATGGGCTGGCCTAAAACAACAGGCTCTTACAGTTCTAAGGCCAAAGTCTGAAGTCAAGTGTTGGCAGGGTTCCTTCCTTCTGGAGGCGCCGAGGGAGATTGTCTTCCATCTCTCTCTCTCTCCTGTATTCTGGAGGTTTCCAGTAACTCTTGGTGCTTCTTGGCTTATACACACGTTACCCCGGTTTCGGCCTCATCTTCCAGTAGGGTGGATTCCATCCATCTTTCTTTGTGTCCTCTCCTCTTCTGAAAAGGATGTGGGTCATAAGATTTAGCGCCACCCCAATCTACTTGACCTCATCTTTAGTAATTAAATATGAAAAGTCACTATTTCCAAATAAGGCAGCATTCTGAGGTTCCAGGTGGTCATTGGAGGGGGTGAAGGGGGCAATATTTAAAGTCACTGCACTAAGTAGAAGTGGAGCTTCCCTAGTAGAAGGGATGAGAAGGGCCTAGTGTCCTTTCCACTCATTTCTCTTTCTCCATGGGAGACCCTGAAACAGCATCCCAAAAACCTAAAACTTCCAGTTTAAAAACCTGGACACTCAGGATGCACACAAACATTGCACACTTGTCAGGAGAGTTAAGCTCCAGCCGTGTGCAGAGTCTTATCTAGGTAACAGCAGAGACGTTTCTGTCCTCTGAAAGGTAGGCCTTTGATGACCGGTGTCAGCTGCTGCAGCCATGGCACCGTGGCCCTGGGTTACCCTATCCTTTCAATATTTGTATCTCTGTGCTGGTTCACTGAATGTTCAGCCAGTATTAGCTCATGTCTCCCAGGTCTGATGGTTCACTGAATGTTCAGCCAGTATTAGCTCATGTCTCTCAGGTCTGATCACTTTTTAGGCATGGGGAACATCTCGAATGACCAAAACAGATGAGGGGCCTGCTCTCATGGGGCTTACCTTCCCGTGGGAAGGCAGAGAGTATACACAATTAACTAGCTGACAGTGGCTATGAGAATTAACTGGATGATCCCTTGAAGGGCACAAAAGTGTGATGCTACTTAAGACGGTCAGAGTGAGGTCACACTGGAGCTGGAGCTAGAAGAATGAAAGAAGTCAGCAAAGTAAAGAGTGTAATATATAAGCCCCGGGGGCAGACTGGAGAGACATGGTGTATCCCTTGGGAAGTCCTTTCTGGGTTCCAGACCTGGCCTGACACTTGTTACTGTTGACCTTGGACAAGTAACATAAACTTTCTGAACCATTGGATCTCACCTGCAAAATGGAAGTATCGGAACTAAATTCTGGAGTTGCTATAAGAATTGAAACAAGGTTGCATGTCAGGTGCTTAGCATGTGGGACCAGGGGGCCCACAAACAGGAGTCAGGTAGGTTTCATAGGGAAAAGAGAGCTGAGAGAGACAGCAGGAGGCCATTTCTAACATCTGGACCGTGAAGCCATTATCATGGTCTCTGCCATTAGGAGGTGGTGGTCCTTGACATTGACAATTCCAGCTGCCAGGGAGTGACCAGAACAGTCAGGAATGAGGTTGGCTGCTCGTGAATGGATTCCTTTTACTGATGAAGGCATTGGCTTCTGTTTAGTCACAGTCTCATTGCTGGTATCCTTTGGCTCCAAGGCAGACAGTGCTAACGCAGGTTGAGGATACAGTCTCTGCTTTACTCATCGTCACCTGTGATGACTCTGGTTAGTGGTTGTGTTCCTGAAAAAGCAAACGTGATGATTTGAGGATCAAGTTTTGGCAAGGACACAAATGTGACAGGTGGCCTAGTTACCTGGAATGGAGGGAGCCAGGAATGCAGAATAAGAGACACTTCCCCTTATATTTATTTTATTCTTATTGAATTATTACTAACATAATGCTGACTAGCCTACAAATATCAGGTTATTTGGATCAATAATTTAGAGAAATATGGGGAGAAAATGTACTTTTCCTAAGTTTTTACTTCTTATTAAAAAGTTCTCTGTCATCTGGACAGATGACCTGTGGTATGCCCACTGCTTAGCTCTAAGTATTGTCTACATTTTGCTACATTTCCTTCACTGTTTATTCTTATTTCAGGTATTTTAAGGACAATCACAGCAATTGGTCCTATATACTTTTGAGTGCATTTCTTGTATGACCACAATACCATGATTACAAACTTAACCAAATTAACAATATACCCATAATTTCTACTCACTCCAGTTTCCCCAAATGTCTCCAACATGTTGAAAAAAGGACCCAATCAAAGTCCACACGTGGTATTGAGCATTAGGTGACTTAAGTATCCTCAGCACTAGAACCGTCTTAAAAGGAAGACATTGATGCCCACCCAAAGTATAGGCTCCGGTGTGAGGACAACATGAAATGTCTAGACATATAGGGGCTCATGAGCCACAGCACCCCAAGTTTTCATTCAGATAATTCCTGAAGAACAATGGGCCACCTGTGTCCCTTGCATTACCTCTTCTGGGCCACCTGGCCCCAAAGGGCACATACTCAGTAGCATTTTCAACAAGATCCAACAAGTCTCACTGGCTTGGAATATCCTCTTCCCTTGAAACCAGCTTCTAACCCACACGTTGTCTAACCTTCAGGATTAATATGAAACCCAACTGAGAAGGATTTATTTGTGCTCATAGATAAAAAGTTTGGACAGAAGGCACTGGAACTGGAAGCACTTGATGTGACATTGATTCTGGCCCGGAAAAACCTGTCTCACAGCCAGAACCTCCTCCACTGCCTCTGGGCTCTGCGTGTGCTCGCCTCTAGTGGTAAGTGATGTGACGGTGGCATGGGGGTGGCTTCCAGACCCGGTGTGTTGGAAGGAAGATGTGGGTGTTGGACATCGGTGATCCCAACCGGATAACTAAACTATGAGGAGCTTCAAATTCTAGAGTCTTCTGAGCAAGAGGCTCTTTCTTCATCTCTGCTTCCAGGAGGAACTCTTGAGCTTCTTCCTGAAGTTGTTTTCTGTCGGGAGCCACATATTCTAACATGCTAGGCCTCTCTGTTAGGACTCCAAGTGACAGCACCCATCGTGGGAGAGGGCAGACCCTATCATCTCAGGACAGTGTGCTGTGTCTGTCAGGACGGCTCTCCTGTCTCGAATCTCTCTACTGTCCTGGAAGTTCCCCACTGGCCCCAACAGACTTGAGCATATTTTATCCCACAGGGCTTCTCAGCATAGTTCTCAGGGACCTGCCAGCTGTATCAGAGTGCAGGGCATTGCCACCTTGCTGTCTTTGGCTTGGCATTATTTCTATTGTCCTAACAATCCTGCATTTAGACTTCCCACTTTATAACTGAGACAGAAGGAAGCATAGAAGAGTGAAGTGATTGCTTAAGTCCATACAGGTAAGCCTTGGGGCTGAGGGTCTAACACCAAAACTCAGCAAATCGACCCCCCCAAGGGGAATGGTTCTTATCACTAGCTTCGGTTCTGTACCCCCATCTCCCGCACAGGGACATTATGGCACCTTGCTGAACCCCTCCTGCGAATGAGAGTGACATTATTTAGATGGAATGTTCTTGAGAGGGTAGAGCGGGAACTGAGGCCAAGAAAACCTGGGCTTGGCTTTTCTTAAGTGTCAAGGATGTGGGCACATCACCCCATGTATAACTCCAGTTTCTTTGTAAAATTACACTAGTAATCAGAGCTCGTGGGCTTGGTAGTTGGGTTTTCTAAAGAATAACTGGGCGTGGACTTCCTTGCCCCTCCCTGGCCTGGTTTCATGGCCTGGAGTCCTACTATATTTCTGTTCCTTTTCTCCTCAATAAGCTTCTTCTTTCTCTAAACAAACAAATAAACAAAAAACCAAAACGGGGCGCTGGTAACTTGTGTTGCTCGTAATGTATAGGTGTGTGTATGTGTATACAAGATTAGACATCTAGGAAAATTCCTTCAGCTTGGAGTTCTTGGGAAAATGCTGGGATTGCCTGTAGACATGAAGAAGCAGTCATTTGACACCTATTCTAAAGCCACATGTATTGTCCACGTATTACAAGACTCCATGATTTAGAACTGTTCCAGGAGATATTTAGAGATTACCTCTCTCTACATGTTGACTTTCCTGATGAGAGGTGAGCCTAGCACACAGAGCCTATGAATGCTGTCTCTCTGGCGAATTGTTGGCCGCTGTTGAATGTGCCAGAGAGCTTTGTAAACAGCTCCATAGGCAGAAGGAACCGATTGGAACCCCAGTGACAGTCACCGAATCCTTCAGCAGCTCTCAGATGGCCAGTGGGGATGTTTATTTACCATGGGCAGGTATCCAGCAAGGGAGAACTCAGTGGGGATTTCTTGACTTCATCCTCTCTCAACGCCAAGTTTAAAGTCTTCCATGTTAGAATCAATGCTCTTCAAACTGTCTCCTCCTAACTTTACTTAACACTTAGGAGTCTGCTAAATTATTTGCCAAGAGGTTGCTCCAGCATGTTTTCGTAATTTAGAGAAAAGGTCTGAGTGAGAATAACGGAAGTAGAAGATTGATGGTGAGGAAGGGATGCCAAATCCCTGAGTTTTAATCTCGGCAATTACTGTCTGTACTAGGCTCAGGAGGGACAGTGCACAGAGGCTGTTCCAGGAATATCCTCCATTTCCATGAAGTCATCCCATAATAGCTACAGCATCCGCCTCAGTCCTCGGTCTCTGCTGGGTGGACTTTACTGGGCTGAACTACTGCAGAGCCTCTAGGTTTCCATTTTTTTCTTTTCCTGAAGTTTGGAGCCAGCCAGTATCAGCCATCCTGGTTTCTATGGCTCCTCCTTGACCCCTTTGCTCCACTCATACTTTCTGGAACAGGGCTGGCCCAGAGCACAAGGCATTCCTAGGTCTCTGTTGAATCACATCAATGCAGAGGAGGAAAAAGAAGAGTCATAGTTCATTCTTTCTCCCACTGAAAAATTTTCCCGTGCTAACCTGATTCTGTTTTGTAGCCCTGTGGACTCCCATTATTTTTTTGGCATGACCAGGGGAATGGGGTACTGGAGATGTGGCCAGGAGGCCAGGGCATCACAGAAGACGAGAGTTACACTCAGAGCTCTTGTATTCAGACCATTTCTCTGAAGCCACTGAACTGACCTGCTCCCCCTTTGGTTTTCTAGTGTTCAGATCTATGGCATACTTTTATGACCATCCAACTGGGAAAAAAGACCATTTCCCAGATTAGTTACCTCTGAGTAGGAAGAGCTGATTTTTTTTTTTTTTTTTTGACATCGTAATGTTGGAAGCATGGTCAGGAATTGATCTCAGAACCAGGAGTTGGAGGGGAACTTGAAACCAGAATGGATGAGAAACAGGACACCCTTGTTTAGGAGGCAGCTGAAAGTTTCAAAGGAGTTGAACCTTAACTCTTCCATTTGTGACTTTTCCTTATTGTGAAGTCTCCAAATGGCAGAATAAGTCTTCCACATGTTTTGTAAGATACTGGCTGTTTGTGTGTGTGTGCACACACGTGTGTGCCTGCGTGTGTAACTGAGTATACGTGTCACATATAATGTCTGTGGTGGTGAAATAGCTTGAACTGAGGTCATCACCAGACCCCAAAGACCTGCTTATAGATCAGTCTTTTCAGCGATTACCTAGCCTGTTCTGATAAAGAACACTCTGGAAAAGGGCACAGGCCATCACGAAACGAAAAGCATGTTTCACGTCTTGGGCCACCTTTGAGAAGCAGATAGTGAGGGGAGATCACGTGTGCTTTCAGATGATGTCTGCTTCCTAGCCAAGGGTGAAATGACCAGAGTTTCTCTGCTTTTATGTTGCCTTTGGCAAGGGAGGTGATGCATCTCCGCCACATTTCAGGTTCACTCTGTAATGCTGAAAATGCAGCTTGATTCAGATGGTTCAATAACTACTGTGCTTTTGTCTTTCTCAGTCACCACGGGGGCCATGCTGGGAATTAATGGAGCGATGGAGCTGCTTTTCCAGGTCATCACCCCTTATACCCAGAGGCGCACCCGAATCATCAGGTACAGAGCACTTTCTTAGTATTGTGCCTGCTCTGTGATGGATGGAGAGATGGAGCTGTGCTCCGAGATGTCCTTGTGGTACTTCCAGTTCAGGGGAGTGATGCCCTCCCACTAGTAGAATATGGTGCCACAACTCCCCCTCACCCCAGCTTGTGTCCCTCCTCACCATGGGTCTTTAATGGGAGTCCATTGTGGTTGTGTGCTGGTTTTAAGATATATTTTTATCACTGGAAAATGAGGCTCAGCCTGTCCTCTCCGGCCCTGCTTGCAGGAGTGGAGTGAATCAGTAACTTTCAAGGGAGGTGGCTAGACACATTCTCACACCCTCTATTTCTGATGAGGAAGCTAAAATGTGGAATGAACCTTACCCAAAGCCATAGAGCTAGGAACTGGCAGAGTTGGGATTTGAATTCACATCTTTCCAAGTAAAGCCCATGGTTTTGTTTTGCCTGAAGCCTTTGGGTCACCTTCTTGCTCACAGCCATGCTACCATCGTGAGTCTCGTCCTCAAAACAGAAGCCAGAAATTGCAGGGCGAAGCGATACTCCTCTGGTCCTCTAAAGAGTCGGTCGGTTCATCTCTGATGTGAGATCTGGGCCTGGGAGTCCATCATGGTTGTGTGCTGGTTTTAAGATATATTTTTATGATTGGAAAATGAGACTCAACCTATCCTCTCTGGCCCGGCTAGCAGGAGTGGAGTGAATCACCAACGTACAAAGGGAGGTGGTTAGACACGAAGGCTTTAGAGATACTCAGAACCACTAAGATCCATCATTTGTGGGAGTGACTCAGCGAGGACCTTGAAAGAATATTAGAAGAAATTCAACCAGTTTCCAAGATGTATGGGGTCGTTTGGCAAAGTAGCATTTCCATGCCCAGGCATGATATGTTCTGTACCCCAGCATCAATCTTAGGCTCATGTTCCACCTGATTATTTTTCTCTTGGGTCACCCCACTAATGCCATTATCATCCATCCTCACCTGCAGCTCTCTATGCCAGCATTTCCTAGAGTGAAATGCATTTTATCTCAGTAAAAAAATTCTCATCAAATACATTGAGAAGTACCAAGTTCAACAAAGTTAGGTGGATTTCCTTACTGTCAGTGTTCTTAGAACCTTTGTAAAGCCAGCACACACGGAGAAAACCAAGATGCAGAATCGATCATGTTTTTTTTTTTTTTTAAAAAACTATACTTGGGTATAGGCCAGAGGTTGGGTGGGGTGGGGGGAGGTGAGAGGATTCACTAGAGACAGAGTGGGGAGCAGAACAGGCAGATCTACTGAAATATACTGCTGAGGGGAGCAGTAGGTGAGTCAGGAGAGGTCTGCTGTGCCACGTGGGTTGCTCCCTGGATGGCTGGGGATCAAACTTGTGCTGCAGTGGCTGCTGATCACTTCATAGGTTGCGTCTTAACCCCTTGCGCCACCAGGGAGGCCCAGAATCTATCAGGGTTTAAAACTGATTTGGCCAGGCAACTATTTTTGTCTGGAGGCCACCTTACTTTTGGAGTCAGTGTTTTTACAAATGTCTTTCTAGAAACCTCTTGTCTAGAGTGCAAATATTTGGCAAAGTAGGAATCAACTAAATTCTATCGAGGGAGCCTCCTCTAGTAGGTATCAAACTTCAGAGGCACAAACTCAGTGGCAAACAAAATGAACATTCTTTATTTTCCTGCAATTTATACTTTATAAATTTATACTTCCTGCAATTATACTTTATTTGTGTCTTAAACTTCCATTTCTATCAGTAATAAAAATATGACTGTCTTTCCAGGTATCTAAGTCAATTGCATGACTTGTTGGTCCACTCAGGGTTTTTGCTCCTCTCTTATTCCTAGGGTGCATCTAAGTCCTAGAAGCTTCTGGCCATGCCCTGGTGTCAGTGGATAAACACTGGCTGGCCTGAACCCTCTTTTGTCCACTTGGCGATGGCCAGTTTTTATCACAACAGACCTTTGCTGTTGACATCTATAGTCTTATCATGTCCCTTGGTCACTAATCCATGAACTTCCATCTCTGTTCTTTATTTTTTCACCAAACACATGTCTATTTTATTTTTCATTAAACATTTATTTATTTATTTATGCATACAAGAACTGGGGTACAGGCCAGAGATAGGGGGGTGAGAAGATTTATACCAGAGGCAGAGTGGGGAACAGAATAGGCGGATCTACTGAAATACACTGCTGAGGGGAGCAGCGGGGAGACAGGAGAGGGCTGCTGTGCCGTGTGGGTCACCCTCCTGGCTGGGGATTGAACTCATGCTGCAGAGGCTGCGGATAGCTTCATAGTGCTGCATCTTCACCCCTTGTGCCACCAGGGAGGCGCCTCCATCTCTATTCTTAGGGCCCCTTCTAAGCTGATGCTGTTTCCATTCATCTGTTCTGCAGATCAGGAGTATCTGGTGGCTTCCCCTACATTTTATGAAAATCTACAGGATGTCTGTGGGGTCCTCCACTATTCACCTTTTCTTTACCACTCGGGTCTTAGGTTGCTTAAGGGTTCTCTGGGGAGTCCTTCCCAGCTCACCTTGACACTAGATCCCTCCCTTTTGGGGTCCTGGGAGCGTTTATCATCTCCCCCATTCAGGCCGAGCCTGGAGGCAGTGAGCAATAGAGCACAGCAACCCCCTTCTCAGAGATGCGTATGTGGCACTGCTGTGCTCTGTTCCTTCTGCAAAGGGAGCTGAATGCTGGCTCAGGTTCCGGCAAGGCACCATGGAGAAATGGGCGGTCATACCAGGGGCAAACAAGGGTGGACGTTTCCATTTTCAAAAGGAACCTTTCAGGGGCCTCAGCGTAGTTTTGCATTTCTGCTCTGTCCTGTCACTTTTGAGCAAGATGGTTTGCCTTCTTGAGCCTGAAGTCAAGCTAAAACCCAGAGCTCAACCCAGGAGAGACTTTTCCACCAGCTATTACATGAGAGCTGCCGAAGGTTGGTTGCGTGGCCTGCCCTGTGCTAAATGCTTAGTGTGCATCATCAGTTTCGGTTCTTTCCATGGCGCTATGAGGCAGGTGCTATTACCACCCCCAGTTTTACAGGGAAAAAAAAACATTGAAGCTGAAAGAAGTTAAGTAACACGAGTTAAGTAACATGCTGGGACTTAAGTGAAAGAGCCGGGATTTAAACCCTATCTGATACATGAGCCTTAGCTCTTAAACTACCGCTGCAGCATCTTACACAGTTTATTTCCAGCATTTTTATTTCTCAACCACCATATGTAAGGCAATCATAAGCGGTTAAAGTGTGTTTACATTTCTCTAGCTGTCTGCATGACTCACACTCATGGAACAATTTGTTTAATGATAGGGAGTCTTCTCCATAGAATGGCTATTTCTGCTCAGAGGCTAACTAGATGCCTGTTGCCTCCACTTTTGAATTCTTTCCCTAAATGTCCCTCATTTTCTACCTGTCCCTTGTCCTCAGCAGCAGGAGAAGAACAAGATGCTGAAATCTCAAGGCCTGCCTTGTGGGCTTCTTTCTAGCGGATTCCTCGGTGGGTCTTGTCATCCTTCTTAACTGAGCTTCCACGCCACTCCCGAGTATCACTGTGAAGTGTCCTCTCCTGGTTTGTTGTGGCCATTGAGAGAGGATGTGAGGAAGGTTGTTAGCTTTGGTGTCGCCAGTCGTTACTAATCCAAAAACGCTTGAGTACTTGGCTGCTGCTTTAGTCCCTGTAGCAGAGTTGGAGGAGAAGATGGAGGAGGAAGAGTCTTCTAGTTTTCTCCTCCTCCTCCTGTGCACCCCATCTCCAGTGCTGACCTCCTGCCATGCACCCCATCCCTAGTGCTCTCCTCCTCCCACACAGTAACTGAGCATCCCCAGATGAGTTCTGTTTAACTCAGCTTGGATGGCAGAACCTGTGCGCTGGAAGGGGTCTCTCTGGAGAGGATTCAGTGCCTGTTAGGGGACACAAGTGGCCCTCCAAGTGCCCCCCTCCCAGTGCTGGCAGCAGAGGAAGGGCTATTCTGGGCTGCGCAAGTAGGAGCAATGCCCGGCTGACTTGCCGCTCTGACTCTGCCTGCTGCAGATCCATCCTGCCCTACTTCTCCAGCTTGGTCCTAAAATTAGTGGCGCAGCTGTCCTCCCATGAAGCCCTGTCCGCAGATCATCCTCAGGCAGATTTATGACAGAGGCTCCGGCTGCACCTTCCAGAAGGAAGCGACGCCACTCGCCCTCTGTGGCTTGGGGCCAGGCCCCCATCACTTCCCAGCCCCGCGCTGGCATGCACCGCCAGAGCCTGGATTCTTGTGCCATCGCTTCTCCATGGCTCTGAGCACCCCCTTTCTCCCGGTCGTTTTGTCAGACTTCGCTGCCCCTGCAACCCTGGGGTCGTCCCTCGGACATCAGCAATCCCAGTGCATCCCAGCTCCCGCTCCCAGCCTGTCCTGTTCCCCCCTCATCTCTCTTGGGTTGCCTCCCTGCGTGTGGGGACCATCGCCCCCCATCCTGCCTCCCGCGTGTCCTTCCTCCGCAACTGCCTCGGGGAAGGTGGATGGTCCCCATTCCTCAAGGGAGGCCCCGGAGTTCCTGCTCCCAGGCCCAGGCACCAGGAACCTTCCGACCCCGCTGCGTCCCCAGCGTTTCCTTCCCACGTCCCTCTGAAGTTGGTCAGATTCAGCAGGTGCAGTGGCGGCCTGTCTGCTCTCCCCTCTGAATTCCAAGCTTCCTGTTTAATTTGCTGTTCTTACAGGACCCAGACGATTGCCTGGACTATGCCAGGCTCCTAATTCAATTAAAAAATACCTTTAACTTAAGAAATCACATCTGTTCTTTGTGACTATCCTCGATCGTGTTGGAGAAACGTGATCCCTTACGGACCATGCTAGGCACTTCATACTTATTCTCTTATTCTTCCTTGATGCTGACTCCACTTGGGGGTCCCATCGCCTCCCAGCATATTTGAGAAGTGGGGTGGGGCTGCTAAGAGCTCCCCACGCGGGGGGTCGGGGTGGAGTGGGCTGGGGGAATGGAGGGGTAGGCGTGCCTGGGGTTGCTTG